CAGTGAGTGACCCATTAACAGGGAATTAATTAAAGAAACCGGAAGATTTAATAAGTCCCCTTGGGGGCTGGGAGCGTTCTCCACCTGCTGGCCTCCCTTGCTTGGATGACTCCGGGAGAGGGAAATAATCAAAAAGGCTACATTTCAATTAACAAAAGGGGTCTCAAAGTTCCTCTCCTTCCTCCTAGCCCCCCCCCCCCCCCGCTCACCAAGTGGTGGGGGGGTCGTTTTGGCAGGTTGTTGAGGTCTCTGGACAATGAAGGATGGTGGGAAAAGTCAGGTTTTTTCTTTCTTTCTTTCTTTCTTTCTTTCTTTCTTTCTTTCTTTCTTTCTTTCTTTCTTTCTCTCTTTCCCTTCCTTCTTTCCTCCCTTTCTTCCTCTGCCTCCCTTCCCTCCCTCTATCCCTCTCTCCCTCCCTTCCTTCCTTCCTTCTTTCCTCTCTTTATTTTCCTTCCTTTCTTCTTCTTTCCTTCTTTTCTTCTTTCCCTCCTTCGTCCCTTTCTTCCTCTCCATTTCTCTTTCCTTCCTCTCCTTCCTTCCCTCCTTCTGCTTTTTTCCTTCCCTTCCTTCTCTCCCTACTGCCTTCTCTTTTTCCTTCCTTCTTTCTTCCTTCCTTCCTTCCTTCCTTCCTTCCTTCCTTCCTTCCTTCCTTCCTTCCTTCCTCTTTCTCGCCTTTTCTTCCTTCCCTCCTTCCTCCCTTTCTTCCTCTCGATTTCTCTTTCCTTCCTCTCCTTCCTTCCTTCCTTCCTTCCTTCCTTCCTTCCTTCCTTTCCTCTGCTTTTTTCCTTCCTTCCCTCCCTCCTCTTTTTCTTTCCTTCTTTCCTTCCTTCCCTCCTTCTCTTTTTCCTTCCTTCCTTCCTCTTTTTCCTTCCTTCCTTCCTTCCTTCCTTCCTTCCTTCCCACTCCGTCCCGGAGATCAATCAGCTAATCCCACTGGGGCTTTTTCCGAAGTCGACCACCGGAGCCAGGATTAGAGGGAGGATCATTAGATTAAGGGAATTCATTAGAGGAAGCCCGGAATTCTTGTAGGTGACATCCAGGTGCTCCAGCTTCATTACGGGGCCAGCAGAACATCTGCTCTTCCGCAGCTCCGCAGCCTTCGCTGCATGCTAAGTAGCCCCACCGTTTTCCCGCCGCTTGGTGGGGAAGCCTCTGGTTCTCCAGCCTAGAGAAGAAGAAGGGGGTCCGGCAACCCCGAACACCCGCAAACTAGGGGAGACGGGTGCATCGGGACCGAGGCCTGCTTTTTCGTCCCAAATAAGTGTGTGTGTGGGGGGGGGGTGTCCCTTGAGGCTGGATCCAGGGAGTTCTATCCCAGGGGTAGGCAACCTCGGCTCTTTTATGACTCATGGACTTCAACTCCCATATAAGAGCCGAGGTTGCCTACCCCTGGTCTGTCCTAACACAGAGAAGGCTTAGAGGAGACCTGATAGCCGGTCCCTGAAGGGCTGTCATGGGGAAGAGGGCCTCCATTTGCTCTCCGTAAGATCTGAGCAATGGGTGGAAGCTATCTATCTATCTATCTATCTATCTATCTATCTATCTATCTATCTATCCATCCTATCTGTGTCTGTCTGTCTATCTATCTATCTATCTATCTATCTATCTATCTATCTATCTATCTATCTATCTATCTATCTATCTATCTATCTATCTATCTATATCTCATCTCTGTCTGTCTGTCTGTCTGTCTGTCTGTCTGTCATCCATCCATCCATCCATCCATCCATCCATCCTCTCTCTCTCTCTCTGTCTCTCTCTGTCTCTCTCTGTCTCTCTCCATCTATCTATATATAATCTATCTCTATCTCTTTCTGTCTGTGTCTGTCTGTCCATCCATCCATCCATCTTCTCTCTCTCTCTAACATCTTTACATTTTCAAAAAAAGGCTGGCCAGTCCGTTGTCCTGGAGGCCGTATGGGTCTTCTGTCTTGGACAGGGGGGAGATGGACTAGAGGACCTCCGAGGTCCCCTTCCAGCGCTCTGCCTCTCTGCTCCTTCCAGCTACATGGAGGTGGCCAACAACGTTCAGAGGGAGGAGACGGTGCTGAGCATCCAGTTTGTGCTGCTGGACTGCTCCCACCTGAAGGCCGCCGTGGTCCAGCACTGCAACGAGTGGCAGAACAAGCTGACCAACCTGCTCAAGGAGATGGCCACCAGCCGTTTGAGGGAGCTGACCGCTTACCTGCAAGACAACGCGGCCGAGTGAGTGTCCCGCCATCGATCGGGCTCCCCTTGGGGACTCCCTTTCTGCACCCTCTCTTTTCCCACCCTGTCCCCATGGCTGATGCTGCGATGGCTCAGCTGAGGTTTTTGGCTGGGAAGCCAGCAGCCCGGGTTCGAGAACCGAGCTGGGGTGAGCTCCCGTCTTCCCCTCAGCTTCTGCCAATCTAGCAGTCTGAAAGCATGCAAAGGCAAGTAGATAAACAGGTAGAGCTTCGGCTGGAAGATGACAGGGCTCCGCGACTTCACGCTGGAAACGTCTTCGGACAGCGCCGGCTCAGTGGCCTTGAAACAGGGATAAGCACCGACCCCTCTAGTCGGCAACTCTAGCGAGTAAAATCCGCAAGGGCTCCTTTTGTCTTTACCTGGCCTAAACGCGCCTTTCGCCCCCGCAGCATCAGCCGTCCTCCCCAGACGTTGGAGGAGCTCAGCCGAAGCCTCCAGCTGCACGAGACGCTGCAGAACGACCTGCTGAAGATCGAGGGGCAGATCCCCCCGATCCACGAGCAGTTTGCCATCCTGGAGAAGTACGAGGTGGCCGTGGACGAGGAGGTAGGTCTAGGGCTGAGGATTCGTGGTTGACGTGGCCCGGAGTGCGGTTTTCCTCCTGCTGCTGAGGTCGATGGCCTCTGTACAGGTAGTCCTCAACTCACAACTGTCTGTTTAGCGACCAAAGTTTCAGCAGCACTGAAAAAAAGTGACTTACGTCCTCGCACTTACGGCCGTCACAACATCCCCTGATCAGGAGATCAACATTTCACAACCGGCTGTTGCAGTATCCTGGGGTACCGTGAACGCCATTTGCGGCGTTCTGACAAGCAGGGTCAATGGGGGAAGCCGGATTCACTTAACGACCCTGAGATTCACTTAACAACCGCATAGATTCGCTTAACAACCATGGCATAAAAGTTTGAAAATCTTAGCGATGGAAATTCTGGTCCCAATTGTGGTCGTAAGTCGAGGACTCCCGTATTAGGTTAGCCGTGACCTCCTTTGGTTGGTCCACATCCCCATCATGCCCTCCACAACTTTGTGGTGCTGCCCTCTACCGGTTCCCACCTCTTTTGTGCTCAACGCTGCTTGGTCTCCCGTCCTTCCAGGTGCTGCAGTTGCTGGGTGATTTGAATTCGGAGTGGCTGGCTTTCCAGCAGTGCCTCCTGGATAGCGAAACCATGTTGAAGAAACACAAGGAGAAGTTCAAGACGGGCCTGATCCACTGCGCGGATGACTTCAAGAAGAAGGCCCAAAATCTCCTCCAAGACTTTGACATGAATGGTGAGCAGCCACAGATAGCTCTGGGCTTGGTCCTCCTCTCCCTTCTGACCCATCGTCCTCTGCTGTGGACAAAGAGGATGGGCTTTCTCTCCAACCATCTTTTGGTTCTTCAGGTGGGAGTGGACTGGGCTGGTTTTCTTTGGGGTGTTGTGGGAAAATGGTAGGGCTGAGAACTTCTGGTTGGTATCTCTGACTCCTCAAGAGGAATCCTCGTTCAGCTTAGGGGAACTGAAGAGGGTTGGTCCTGTCAGGCCCGAAAGACCAGGCTTACAAGGTCCAGTTAAACGGCTTCATTGCTGAAAGCCTATGCACAGGAATCTTCTACCTAAACTGCTTTATCGGTAAAAGCCTGTGCACAGGAATCTTCTAACTAAACTGCTTTATCGCTGAAAGCCTCTGCACAGGAATCTTCTACCTAAACTGCTTTATTGGTAAAAGCCTGTGCACAGGAATCTTCTAACTGAACTGCTTTATTGCTGAAAGCCTGTGCACAGGAATCTTCTAACTAAACTGCTTTATCGGTAAAAGCCTGTGCACAGGAATCTTCTAACTAAACTGCTTTATCGCTGAAAGCCTCTGCACAGGAATCTTCTACCTGGCCAGCCCCAGACAAAGCACGGAGGTCATCCAGGTCTTCTGTCCTTCTCCACTCTCAGGTCCCTTCACCAGTGCCGTCTC